AAAAAAAAAAAGAAAGACAAATGAAGGATTGATTTTAGATTTTTAGAAAAAAATTCTTTTTGTAAAGGATTTTGCACGGATCACGCCTAAAATATCATTTGATCAATAGCAATCTCTATCACCAGCTCTATCGAAATCATGCTGGAATCATCCTCTTTCTCTGTCAAACGAGACTGATCTGTCCAATTCCTCGTTCTTGAGCGAACGAACTGTATATTCTCGGATGGATGGTTCATTTCACCGTTTATGCCGATGATGTTGCGTGACACGAGGCGAGGCGTCCCGTTTTATTGGCTGTCGAAACTAGCGGCAAACGCTCGGCTCGTGTCAGTGGTTTGTGTTGATTAAACGCGGAGGCGTCTGGCGACTAAGCGTTTAATTTTCTCGACACGTTTGCGAGCTCTGTATATACATACACACGAAACGCGTGGAAACAGGTGCTTTTAGCTCGCGTTTGTCCACTCGCGGAACGATGCTCGACGCGTTTCAATTACTATGTGGGACACATAGATCCATCCTGCATTCCGAGATTACGCAAAACTGAAATGACAAGTGCGAGACCTAGACTTTCAGCTATCGTTGTTTTTCAGAATTTCCGGAGAGTCTGAAGTGAGGCGAGGTGTTTTCCTTCTGGAAAAGGAGGAAACTGAAATTCCTGCGTCGTGAATCGTGTACGTGGTTGATAAATTACGCCATTGTTCGCGCAGTTATATTTATACACACATGGAAACAACAGTTTCCTCCGTTTCCTCCGCGGTGTTACGTAATTACGTGTGTCATCCTGTAAACTGGCTGGAAACCGCTAGGAAAAACGCCTATCCAAGCAGCACGACAGACAGTTTTATAAATCCTTCTCGGTGCCATCTGTAGGAAACATTGCATTGCAATTTACGCATTAATCGTCGCGATAACAAGTTCAGCTTGCGACCATTTTTTTTCATTCCGACAGCTTTTTCTTCCACCTGCTTATCTGCAGGCCTGTATTATAGAAAATTATTAAACAAAAATAACTTTTACAAACACGTTTCTTAAATTTTCTATTTGACTAATTTTTTGGAATTTTAATTTTTCAATTTTATTAATTAACTTTTTCTAAATTTTATTTAATTTTTCAATTATTTTTAATTATTTGAAAGTCTAATTAAAGGATTCTACAATTTTTATAATTTTATTATATAATTTATAATTATAATTATATAATTTATAACCTATAAAAGAAGAAACTAAGTCCATACACATTTAGATACCTTGTTTGTCACGTCCAGAACGCGACGTTCGAATTTTTGTACAGTAGAGGCCCGATCGTGTGAATATATGTAGATACGTCAAGCAAAGCGTGTAAATAATTAGCGCCCGTTATCAGATGCATCGCGGCTGTTCGCAAATTGCATAACCAAAGCCAAGAGAAACGATTCTTTGCAGAGAGAGAGGCGAAAAGTGTGCCGTCGTTGCGCGTCAAGAGCAAACAGAATGAGAACGTCAAGTTGAACGATGTCAGCTACAGATCGTGGAGATTGGGCAGCCTGTACGGGGGCAGCAGCAACGGTAACTTATAATTACGTTCGTTTTTGTTACTCTGCCGATCAATTGTTACCCCTCGTGATAAATATTGCGCAGGCACGATCGACGAGAACGCAAGTCCGATCGGGGGGAATTCTTGGAATTCGAACAATGTTCATTTCGGCTGCGCCGATACCTCATCCACCCTGGTAAGCTCCGTTGGCTTAATTACACATAGATGGCGCCCCGTCGTTAATTCATCAGAGCACGCGATACGTTGCAGAATTTGGTAGAGAGGGAGATAGCAAATAACAAGCAGAAACAAAAGGACAGAAAACAAAAGGAATTCCCGACAGAACTGACGATAAGCTTGCAGTACCTGCCACCATGTGACGAGACTATCACCGGGAAACTCGTTATCGGTATCGAGGTATTAACTTCATCTCCTTTCGTCTTGTTTTACGTCTATTTTCTCGGCTATAATGGAGATTGAGTCACGAGTCTCGAGGGAATTTTTCGTTCGATAACGTAGAACACTGTAAGCTACATGTTCCAGCAAATAATGATGCAGCGCAACGCGTCAACAGAAACTATGCACTGTTTGCCAACATTTGCTTGGTACAGTGTGTTTAATAGAACGTGGACGCCATTTCTTTGAAAATAATATTCATATCACGAAGCTGTCAAGTTGCTTTAATAAGGAAGCCCAAGTCGTCGAATTCTAGAAATATGAAGATTTTTATCTGCCTTGTATTGAAAAATTGGCGGGAAGTGGTGGAGACACTGTTAATCGAATAATAGTATTCTAGCTTTCGATCTGCAAGATTTCTTACAAAAACAATAACGTCCACGTTCTTATTAGACACACTATAGTCGCGTGATTAAACCAAAGATAAAAACTCGATGCTGTGCAGGCGTTATCCGGTCTTCCGCCGAAGCAATACAACTGCACGTTGGAGCCGTACGTGGCTCTAAACATAACGAAACAGTCGTGGAGTCACAGGAAACGGGAGAAGTTACACAGTTTTCGAACGAGGAGTGTCAGGCATACCGCGAATCCCGTTTTTAAGGAGACGTTCGTCGTGGCGAACGTGATGCCTCACGACGTTAAGGTAAACACACGTTACGTTTTTATTTGCATCGTGCGTTCGTGCGTGTATTTAACTCAAGGTTAGAAAACACGTCACTCGTGAAACGCATCTACCGCGAAGCTCTACCTTCGAACGAGCCATTATCCTCCCGTAAAAAAAGAAAATACGAACGATAAAAATCTGTGACGTGTTTCCCGAAAGGGTTTCTGTTGGAATGTATATTTTCCTTTCCTAGGAATGGATTCTCGACTTTGCGGCGTACGATCACGACAGATACGCCAACGACACGGAACTGAGCTCGTTCAAGGTGTCGTTGAAAGAGGCGAAGCATGTTCTACAAAGCCCGGAAATTCACATGTTCAACTTCAGAATGAAGCCGTCCAATTTGGTACCGTCGTAAACTATACGTATATCTATAAATAAATGAACGTTTCGATTGGCCCATGTGAAACTTTTTATTTCACGTTGCAGGATCTTGGGAATATTTTGTTAGCCGTAAGTTATTTACCGACAGCGCAGAGACTGACTGTAAACGTAATGAAAGTGCGCGACGTGAAGTTTACGCCAACAGTGTCGAGTTTCAAAGACTTTAGTAAGCGTCACGCGTCTCTTACGTTCACCTTTTTATGTCGTTGCACTATTGCTTGTTGCTTTCAGGCTTTTACGTCAGGGTATTGATGCTCAATGGCAGAACAGGGCAACGAATGAAGAAGAAGAAAACCAAATTCGTCACCGCGAACTCGCAGCCGGAATTTAACGAGACCTTGACGTTTGACGTGTCGTACAATCAATTGGACATCGTGCAGTTTCTTGTGATACTATCCAGCAGAGTGCGTATCTATCCCGACGACAATTTACAAACGCGGAATAAACGAAATCTCGTGATTGGGAAATATTTTAGGCCGCGCCTGTCGAGGTTGCTGCTAGCAGCATGGAGCATCCGAGTGACAGCGAGGATTCGGTGACATCTGTCCAAAAATGGAAAGACATTTCCATCGGCAAAGTGGCGCTTGGCAAGGGAGTCAGAGGCTCAACAGAAAGGTTACATTGGTTCTCTGTACTTCAAAACCCTAGAAAGCTAGTTACCGTGTGGCACGTGTTGAAATAACCGGTGAACATTGCTTGTGGCTCAAGTGCTGAACGAAGAAGAATGACGGAACTATATAAGGCGGATAATCCAACGTTATTGCTCAAATTTTCTGATGAGTGATACATCCGGTGACATCGCTATTGTGCTACCACATTGAAAGAAATTTGACAAGGACATACAAAAATATTTATTTTCAAATAGAATTTAACGAAGGAAGTAGAACGTGTCGCATAGTATTACTGCTGAAAATTCAGATAGAAAAAATATTTCTATATGTACGTTTCTTACAGATCGAAGACAAAAAAAACGACAAATGCGTTAGGTAGTTTAAGGGTTGAACAGTGCCATACAATATTTATTGTTAGACGACTAAAGTTTCCAAGGATACACATTTGTGCCGAAAAGTAAGACCATTGTGCAAACGATTTACTCAAAAGTACCTGAATTACGAATCTTTCATTTCTTCTTTTTTTTTCTTTTTCTTGGAAGTGTAAATTCTCAACATCATACTTATGCTAAAATATGCACAAATTTTTAGGAAATGTTCATAGTTATAGAATATTTTGGGCAATAACGTTGTACTGTATATTTCTATGTGTATTTTATAATTTAACGATGTACATGTATGTGTGAAAGCGCAACCAAAGATCATCAAGATTGTAAATGTTATAAGTATTTGAAGTATTTTATCAATGTATCGATCTTATTTAATTAACATGACGAAATAAATAATATAGATTATATCGCCATTACGTGTTATATCATGTTTTCTGCAATTATTGATCAAACCCACAGTTTTGTTAATTGAATTGTACCCTAACTCTTGTTACAATAATTAATAATTCCATCATTTTTAGATTTTTGTTGTTTTATAATCTCCGCTAATTTAAGGCAACAATAAATACTGCAATTTGTATATTTCTTGCAAACTGAAATTTGCACTACATTTGCACAGTTAGTTTTTAACTTATAACACTGCTGACATATACTAAATGCTAATTTGTAAATTGTGCAATATAATGCTAATTTATGTAGAAGATTATGTTATAGTCAAAAATTAAATTTATCGTCTCTTAAGAGATAATTAAATGAGAAAACATACACGTTCATTTCAATAAATAATTTTCAGTACAGATGCAACATTATTCATATTTTCTGATTGTAATTCTTATTACTAGTGGCGCTGCGGTGCAAAATCTGCTTGAATCGATATGGTAGGATGTGACACGAAAATGATATGGGAGTCAGGTCATCCCTAAACATGGGACACGAGAAAGCATTGGATGTCTAGTCTATTCTAGTTAGTCAATGATTGTAGATTAAGCTTTGCATTATATCAGGTCATATACTCGTCTGTGGACCTAATTATGTTCCATGCCTCTGAGCTTCAACTTCCGCTATGCTTCTGCTTCTTAAACTCTTTTCAGCAATATGAACGTCTGAACACAATTCATGATTTCACTTTTAACACTTTTAATAATTACTTTTTACACATTCACTTTTAACGGTTTAACATATTCACTTTTGGCACTTTTTAAATATTAGATAATTTAAACAATTAGAATATTAATATTCTAAAAATTCAGTTCGATGTGTGCTTGACGAAGGTATCAATTGTTAATGAATTCTAACCTCGATATTGGTGAAAGGTCAATTTGTCCTTTTGGTCAACAATGATAGCCATTATTGATACTTCGAAATACAGTTTTTTTGCTACAGTAATTAATAATTTGATAATATTCAGCTTTTTGTTATGTACTAAATGCCGTGACATGTACATACAATATATTTTTTGCAATTGTAATTCACGAACTAATTCTACAGAACTCTATTTACTGAATATCGATCGAATCGCGTAAGGAAGTGAAAAATGGCAGCGTTTGAAATATGGCGGCAATCGGAGAGCGAGCGCTGCGAGGTTGTGGCGACGTTGAGGCAGAGGGCGACTGCGTCGTTCCTGTGGTCGGTCTCGTAGCAACGTCGAGGAGAGCTGCCCGGCCAGTGCAGTGCGAGCTTCAGTCTGTTTTGTGACCTGTGAGTGTGCTTGTGTTCGTCCATATCGTGTTCGCATTATCCGATTATCCGTTTATTCGTCGCGAGTTTCGTTACATTGTCCGGGAGAAGTGCATCGCGTGCGAAAAGGTGGACGTTCATCGAACGGTGAGTAACCGATTTCGACCTTTTCCGACATCCTGCTCGGCTCCCTGTGTGAGTCGCGAGAGCGTTACGTTGGAAATGTAACCTCCAAACGCGCCTCTCGAGGCCCTGCCACACTCTCAACGCTGCTGTCTCCTTCTCGAATTATGTTGCACGCGTTGCCGAATGTCGCGAATAGAAACGCGATGGGCAAATCGCGCGACGAGACACAACCGGCTTCCTCGAAGCAAATCAATCGAAGGCTCGCGTACGAAAAGGACACGAGCCTTTTATCCTTCTCGGAGACCGCTTCTTGCGGCGGTGTCAACCGTTTTTGAATATCGTCCAATAGCAGCGCTCCGAGCCTCCGTTCGGGATGCTTGAAAACTCCAGACCTGCCCAAGGCCACCGATTTCCCGAAAGATGAGTCTCTCTCTCTCTCGCTCGCGACCTTCGATAACATCATTCATTAGCAAAGATCCTCCATAGTAGTTTCTCCGTAGAATGGTGTTGTTCGTCGTTGGAATTTTCTCGTTCACGTGTCGTGTTGTGACAGACAGAACGAACGAGAACACTTGGACTGCATGCTTCTTGCACTCGTTCGATCCCTCAAACGAATCGTTGGCCACGTCGCCACCCTCTCCTTCGTTTCACCTCGACCAAAGTGATTTTAGCGACCCGCCCCGATAGCCGACTCTTCGGTCTCCATGTTCAGCCCCTCTGGAAACCCATTTTTCTCTCCCTCGGTTTCTTACGTCGACTCTCCTTTTCGAGAAAACGCGCTTCGTGCCGCGGTCTCTCTCTCTCTCTCTCGCGCTACGATGTACACTGTGATACTGTCTGCGGTAATCTCGATTAGGCATCTAGAGATCGCTGTCGGTAACAAGAGACGAGGAAAGTTACGAAATAATCGGGCCCCGTTATCGATAGTGCTTCTGAACGATTAGTAGGTACATACATATGTGTACCGGTTAGGTTAGGTTTGTCTGTCGCGTTTGTGCAGATTGATGTGTCAGTTCGTCAGATATTGTTTACGCAGACGATTGTGTGCCGCTGATGCGTGCTGCGTTCGAACAGTTGCCGTTTACCAAATAATCTTCCGGTAAATACGGCGACGAGCTGTTTCTCGTAGCTGTCGACAATTGCCAAGATACGGTTCGTTTTTTTTTTTTCACGTACGCTTCGATATCGCCGATAAACAAAGAACGCGCGCGAACGTTTTATTGGAATAATCGTGTGATTTGATTATTCGTAAATATTTCATTTCCCATCCATGGAGATTAGATGTCGATATGAATCGTTCTCTCTCTTATCTCGTCTCGTATTCTCGGGTAGGAACGGACTAGTTTTTGCCTAAAAAGCGACCGCGGTCGCATACCGTTGATGCGTGAATTCTTTGTGTCGTTCTTTTCAGCTAACGTGGAATCCAACGATGCAATCGCGTCACGTGTCAACCGTGTTCGATACATGTAAGAAAATGGCGAAAAAGTAATACATAACTTCTCACTGAGTGAAAAAAATTTTTGTGAAAAAAACATTTATTACTTGTTTGGATTCACGGGCCTTTTTTGTCACATTAGAAAATATAATTTTGTGATTGATAATACGTGATATGTTTGCTATTTATAATGTATTTAATTGCTATGTATAATGTAGTTTACGTAAATGATATATCGTGTACACAAACTATATGTTTTTTATAAAAATTGCAATTTTAAGCTAATGTTGAGAGATGATTTTTCATTTTCATTATTACATATTACTGAATTCCATTGTAATTAGTTTTACTCATTATTTTAGTCGACTTTTGTTGGTATACTGCAACTGCGGAATATAACCTAAAATA